GGAGGTAACAGACCATCATCAGCCGCCACTGACCATACAAACGAAAGATTAGGCACGACCAGTCAACGGCGCTTGGTGCACCAACAGACACGTCCGAGACGACAAAGTGCCCAGGACGCCTCCCCCGCAAACACCGCGGCACTCCCTACCCCCTGCCTTGAAGTGTATGCCAACGACTTGCTGAACGAGACTCGTCTCTCCTCTGAACTCCTAAACGAACGTGTTAGAGCCGCCTGTTCGAATTTGCCAAAAAACATAACCACTGGGTTTCTCCTGTCAACACCAGCGTCGCGTATAGTTGCAGCCAGCATATCGGTTGGCACGTTTGATTTTCTCTGCCCCGAGGGCGACACCACAACCAGCAGCACCAACGGGAGGACTGAGGGGGAGCACAAAAGTGGTATGACATTTAACGCGAAACGCAGTCGTTCAATCCGACGTCTGCAGCACCAGAAAAGGACCTCCAAGCTGGGTAACGCCCTGGCTCCCATGCTAACGGAGCAGCTCGGATTCGCGGCACAAATGGGAAAAACACGAAAGGAAACTGTGGCCGGCATGAAACTCGCCTCCGAAAATGGCCTAGTATTCAAATGTCAACTGCAGGACAAGGAATATGTCTTCTTGAATGCGTCTGAATTTGGCGAGGTGGAGATTGTACGCGAGCTGCTCAACGATAGGACCCTCAATGTGGACTGTGTGGACTACATGGGACGCAATGCCATACTTTTGGCCATGAAAACTGAGAATATTGAACTCATCGATTGTCTAGTGGGCCGGCTAAACTTTTATGCTGTGGAAGATGCCCTGCTTAATGCAATAAGTCAGGAAAAAATTCATATTGTTAAACTTATAATTGACCACCCGCAGTATATCCGCATGGAGAAGATTATGACCCCGCGGGGCCAACGAGCTGGGATTATAACGAAGAGCACAGAGCGCTCGCAATTCTCCTCGGACATAACTCCACTCATGCTGGCTGCACACACCAACAATCATGAAATTATTCAGCTTTTGCTGGATAGAGGACTTAAAGTGGAAATGCCTCACGATAGGAGCTGTCTGTGTTTGGACTGCGAATCAATCAGAGCACAGGTTAGTTTTCAGTACTCCTCCATGTCTTAGGGTTTCTTAGTGATATCCATTTCTGCAGACAGAAATAAGATCGCATTTGAGTTTGTTTATATTATTTTAAGAAATTATTGTTTTTTTT